TGATTTTGTTGATTTGGAGGTGCTCTTTCTTTCTTTTGGTTAACTGGGCTAGCGGTCTGTCAATCTTCTTTATGTTTTCAAAGAACCAGCTCTTGGAATTGTTGATTCTTTGTTTCAATTTCATTAATTTCTCCCCTGATTTTTGTTATTTCCTCTTGTCTGCTGGGTTTGGGTTTCGTTTGCTGTTGCTTTTCAGGTGTGTTGAGTTGCAATGTTAAGTCATTTATCTGTGTTCTTCCCGATTTTTTGAATGTAGACACTTAGAGCTATAAACTTTCCTCTAAGGACCGCTTTCAGCGTGTCCCAGAGGTTTTGCCGTGGTGTTGTATTGTCCTTTTCATTTAATTCCAGGAATACTTTTATTTCTTTCTTAATTTCTGTTTTGATCCATTCACCATTCAGGAGTGTGTTGTTTAATCTCCATGTGTTCATATGGTGATTGGGGCTTCTTCAGGTGATGATTGTGAGCTTTATTGCATTGTGGTCTGATAGAATGCATGGAATTATTTCAGTCTTTTTGTATTTGTTGAGGTTTGTTTTGTGCCCCAGTATATGGTCAGTTTTGGAGATGGTTCCATGGGGTGCTGAGTAGAAAGTATGTCCTTTGGTGCTTGGGTAGAATACTCGGTAGATGTCTGTTAAGTCCATTTGATATATGGTATTGTTTAATTCAGATGTCTCTCTGTTAACTCTCTGCCCTGTTGACCTATCTAATGGAGACAGTGGGGTATTGAAGTCCACTAATATTAATGAGTTGGGATTACTCTGGGTCTTAAAGTCCTGTAGTATTGTCTTTATGAAGTTGGGTGCACCAGAGTTTGCTGAATATGTGTTCATGTTTGGAATATCTTCTTGATTCATTGTTCCTTTGATCAAAATGAACTGGCCCTCTTTATCTCTTCTGATTAGTTTTAGTTTAAAGTCTATTTTGTCAGATACTAGAATTGCTAAGCCTGCTTTTTTCTTAGTGCCATTTCCTTGGTATATTTTTTTCCATCCTTTCACTTTAAGATAGTTTTTGTCCTTGAAAGTGAGATGAGTTTCTTGCAGACAACAAAGAGATGGATTTTGTTTCTTAATCCTTTCCCTCAACCTCTGTCTTTGGAGTGGGGAGTTCAGTTCATTGATATTTAAGGTTATTATTGAAAGGTG